TTTTATACTGGAAGGTTACGTTCTGTACTGGGTAAGTACATTTTGTACTGGGAAAGTAACGTTTTGTATTGGAAAAGTAACGTTTTGTACTGGGAAGGTTACGTTTTGTACTGGGTAAGTAACGTTTTGTACTGGGGAAGTAGCGTTTTGTACTGGGAAAGTAACGTTTTGTACTGGAGAAGTAACGTTTTGTATTGGAAAAGTTACGTTTTGTACTGGGAAGGTTACGTTTTGTACTGGGTAAGTAACGTTTTGTACTGAGGAAGTAGCGTTTTGTACTGGGGAAGTAGCGTGTTGTACTGGAAAAGTAACGTTTTGTACTGGGAAAGTAACGTTTTATACTGGGAAGGTTACGTTCTGTACTGGGTAAGTAACGTTTTGTATTGGGAAGGTAACGTTTTGTATTGGGAAGGTAACGTTTTGTATTGGGAAGGTAACGTTTTATACTGGGAAGGTTACGTTCTGTACTGGGTAAGTAACATTTTGTACTGGAGAAGTAACGTTTTGTATTGGAAAAGTAACGTTTTGTACTGGGAAGGTTACGTTTTGTACTGGGTAAGTAACGTTTTGTACTGGGGAAGTAGCGTTTTGTACTGGAAAAGTAACGTTTTGTACTAGGAGGGTAACGTTTTGTACTGGGAAAGTAACAGTTGATAACCTGTGTCTAAATGATGTGTCTAAGATAAGTCTACTGTACAGAAAAATACTATTTCTTAAAACTGGTTTCTTTGTAATATTTTACGTCGTGTATTATATATTATATTATTATAGGTGTTTTTATTTGCTTTTTACCCTAAAATAAAGTATATAATAAATAAATCAACAACTAAATAATTGTGGATGACAAACTGTTTTGCTCTCGTTAAATAAGTCGAATGACCGCCAACGAGGTATTGATATAACCCACTACGCCTTATTTTGATATCGTTGCCATAGTGACATTTAATTGTGATCACAAGACCGAATATTGATTGATATAATGTTGACTCAGGTATTACACCATTTACAAATACTAGTAGGTTATATCCACAGTGTGGTTATGTCACTAAAAAATCAAGAAAAAATGTCACCGAGTTATTTATTAACACATTTACTTCGGTGGTCAAACGGAAAATATAACGTTCGTGTATAAATTTAAGCACTACTTTTCGTATTCCTAGTTGTACTTGCATGTTTCACAACTAAAATTACACGCTACTTAGCTTGTATAAAGTAATGTCACGGTGACCTATAGCATCGCCGAGTTCATGTCAGGCGTATCGGCATTCAACAAGTGCCAATCTCCGCCCAGTCACGTGTTTGGATTATACATCAAGCGTCTCGTATAGCATTATATCAGGCAGTCCACAGTGGAGGAAATAGCATAGTTAGAATTAGCAAGCGTAAATTGAATATTTGGTGTCATATTCGTCCAGTCTTTCATAAAACATTATGTCGATCGAAGAGTTTGACGAGTATAGAAGCTGTGGCTCTAAATATATACATTGAAACTTCACACACTCGCTAAACGACTGCACACGAACAAACACACTTGTAAACAGGAATGCCCGTACAAAGTTCACAGATATCTCAACTGGGTCCTCATCCTCGTTCCAACCAACGCTTTACATCGCAAAAATATCCACACGAGCTTTTGATAGACTAATTACAATCTGCTTCATGTTCACAATTACTAATATTTCACATTAATAAATTAAATTTTGTTCTCCTTTTGCTCAAAATTTAACAAATTATATACGTGTTGACCAATAGTTTTTTTCGAGGAGCGTCACGTGATTTTCGAAGTTGGGCACAGCTTTTAAAAGGCTGTTTCTAATTGGTTCAACTATTACAGCGAGTGAATACGTTGTGTTTCTTCATTTTTTAACAAAAAATAAAACAACGCTATACGATCATGTTATTTTCGGATGCATATGTTAATATAATATAATTGTATTCATCAGTTTTTGCTGTCAAAATGCAATATACCCGGGTAAGGCAGCGCCTCTAACACAAATTAAGTGTTTCAGGGTCTAGCCAATCACCGAGCTCGTTGTTTGGAATTTTAGCGCATAAATTGACGGACGTACTCAGTCATAATGTCATTTCACAACAAGACAGCGTGCCGTGCGGTAAAGTCGGGAGTGTTCGTAAAACAACTGCGTGTTTCTCAAATTACAAAATGGTAGGTATTGAAATGGTGTCAGCTGCATTTTGTTGATTTTTTTTCGAAAAATATCATTAACACATTGTACATCAAACTACGATGATCCAAACTCGTCTTAATTTGTTTTGTTGCAGACGACATACACGGATAAGGGACCGAAGGTAAAATAATTCGATTCTTGCTCTGACGTTTTTCTAGACTAGCTCCGTGTTTATATAATAACTCGTGTAGTTCATGAATATTATCATAACAGTTTAGCTCTACATATCGTTGCAATTTAATAGTAGTTGTTGTCATTCCACTTCGTGGCCATGGTATAGCCATGGACGTACTAACATGGCTTACTAGTCTTATTTTGAGGGTTCTTCGATCCTCTCCATATTATGGAGAGAGGCGAAGGATCCACAAAATAGGTGGAGGTACTAATAACTAAACGAGCTCCGATATTGCGATTTTCAGTTTCAAACAGATAAGCAAAAGTTTAAAATTATATGTCTGTCGCACTAGTGAGCTACAGAATCGCAGCTAGGACTGATAGTAGCCGTGATTACGTTGCTCCGGAGTTATATCGTCACAATATAACCCTGGAAAGACGAAACCACGGTTAATATAGGTGCGGAAGACCACTTTAGTTAGTGCGTCACGACCACGGGGCTTTTTGCATGTAAATTCTATTGTGGCCGTCACCGGTAGTCTTGGTGAAACTGCAAACGTTCTCGCATCATTGATTTTATTTATTTTTTATTTTCAGCCGGAAAATGGTAAATTTCTTAATTTCGACCACATAACGTTTTGGGTTGGAAATGCGAAGCAGGTAAGTGTTTAAGTTTAGACGTGGCTGCCATTTATGAGGTTTGGAGTTTCCAGTAGGCTTTGCTTTTTTGTTGTACGTGCTGATACATACCCGACCTAATTTGATCCAAACGAACGTTCCCTTTTCTGATTGGCTGTAGCCATGGGCGTGTTGAGGGGTCAATTGGGGGTTTGGTTACATGCTTTCTGCTTTGTTTACAATCCCATGCAGTAGACATTGTCGCTATACAATTGCTTTGATGATCAATAAAGGGCACATGTACACCTTTGTTCAGATTAGTGTAGCATTTGCAGCTTTCATTTTATTTAAACAGAATGTTGTTCATGCATATGTATTGTTATATATTTATTTACTATTATTTACTTAATTCATTTTGTGGTGATAAATACAAAAACAAAGTACACATATAATTATTCACATGGTTTTAATTTTGCTTATTTTTCTGACTGAGAAATGCTCTAAATTAAAACCCAATGAATATGTATAATTTAGCATAGATTAGAACACATTATCTAAATGATAAAACTGTGAATTTAAAACCCACTGAATATGCCTAGAATGGTAAATCAACGAAATTAGTGAAAATTAGTCATTTTGAACATTTTGGGTAATCTCTTCAGATTCTTGTAGATTAGCTTCTAGTGAGGGTAAGTTTCTTTCATGAATTCCCCAATTCTAATCAATAGGCTCTGAATCAAGGTGAACTATGCATAGTCATATTCATAAATATATCAGAAATGTAACTATATTGAAATTGTTTTGTAAAATGTGCTTCATTTGGGAAAAAAAATGAAAGAATCTGTTGTAGCACTGGACAGTAGGACTTCCACTGAAGGTCAACCCTGCTGTGTTCTGTATTATTCAAATTTCAGTCTTGTTTATCATTATTTATAATGCCTAAAATAAACAATGCTGTGACTTTGTTGATTTTAGACTTCATAGAAACCCTTCCTACAACCCCAAAGATAGACAATAGTGGTGCAGATGTTACCATGGGCACAGGGACTGTGCCATGGATGAACAATTTGAACAGTTATGTAACAAAGTCTGTAAACAATCTCACCATGAGAAGAAAGTTTGGTATTTTACCCAATTTTTATTAAAATGTGCATACAAATTTCACAATATTATAAAGAATTTTAAATTGATAGCAGAAAAACAAAAACAAATTTTATACAAACCTCGTTTAAAAAATAAACCTTAAATCCTGTCATCTCATCAAGGGTTTGATATGAATGGTCAATTTCTAAACTAAACTAAACTAAACTAAACTAAATTTGGACATTGAATCATACCAATTCATGTCTTTGTACCTCATTTCTTGGCCAATTTGTGATGTCATTGAAATGCTCATTAATATTAATAGCAAGTCTTGTTTGTTTTGTTTTGCCTTTTCGTAGCAACCTGGTATTCACCATTTATACACTGAAATAATATTCTATTTTATTGAAAAAAAACCACCAAAAAACAAATAGACTGTATGCAAATCTACTTGGATCAGTATTATTTAGCTAAAATATATGGTGTACACATAATTCTAAATAGAGCAAAGGAATGTAACGCATCCCAAGAAGGATTGATCTTTGAACAATATTTTAACACTAATAACATGGGGAGCATTTCAGATTGAATTCAATGTTTCAAAGTTAACCTGAATTTCACTATAAAGTGAAAATTTGGTATATCAAGGCATAGAGGTACCTTTATGATCTAGGTAATTGGATACCAAGGGATTATGGGTCAATATTAACTGTCACACAATGGGTCAACCTGCAACTGTTGCAATTGTATTTAAGAGTTGTACACAATTTTGAGATGCCTTTATCTTTTATGAACCAGGCTGTAAATTAGTTGAATATTTACATGTAGGGGATTATATTTCACCATAGAAACCAATGCAAAAATGTAAATCTTGACCCCAATTTTCTTTTTCATATCCTTATCGCATTAACCCAATGTTAGCATGACATAATTCACTTGATAACATACCTTGTGTAAAAGATTAAAATCTAAAAATATCATAGTTCTCATTTACAAATCTCATTTGTTAGATAGTGTTTGAAGGAGGTCAGTCTGATAAAATTAAACAGATTGTAGTTGTACTACACTGCATTGAGGGGCTTTATGCAGTTGATATTAATGATAGGGAATGTATATTATCTGATGTACCCTGATTGTAACAGTGTAGTTCTCACTCAAACTTCAAACTTTGTGTATGAAAAGTAGATAGTAGATACTATGCAAGTTGCATTGTATTTCTAAAGATGCAATAAAGTTATAATTAGCCCTTTCTACACAAATTTGCATAATTTTTTGTCCCATGATCAACCTGGGTTAACACAAGTTTCTAGAATAAGGCCAAATTTAATCTTAAGTGAACATTTTATTTTGTGATAAATAAAAAAACTTCGGAATAAGGAGGTTGTCTGTTTATGGAAGACTGAATTATTATTACACTGCTGAAGGTGTATGGGAAAAATGTAATCTCCCAAAATTTATATTAAATCGAGGAAGTCGTCACCTGCTCGTGCGGCAGACTGCCATGACATGTCGTTGTTTACAAACAAGCATTATCATTTTACGTTTTTAGCATGTGTTGCATTGCTTAGGACTCTATTTCCATATGTGCGTAGGTGGCGACCCTTCGGAAGTTCCCTGTTTTAATAATATGTACATGGTTTTTCCATTAAAATTCTGCTCCTAATTCCGTTAGCCCAATCTGAATGCTACCCTATTGTATAGGGCTGACTTATTAATGTTTTTGACATGTGCTCATATTTCACTCAACAGCTAAAAATACTGTACTCAATAATATATATATGTATTATAATATAATATTATGATTCCAGGCAGCATCGTTTTACTGCACTAGGTTTGGCTTTGAACCGTTCGCTTATATGGGATTGGAAACTGGAAGCCGAACCGTTGTGGCACATGCTGTCAGACAAGGAGATGTAAGTTTAACATTTAATGAGAACAATATTACTGATAATGTTCTACTTTATTATGACAAATTATCGTTGGTTATTGAAACAATCATTATTTAGTTACAATATTTAAATCAATTAATCAGGGTGAAAGTATACAATACTTAATAAACTTATCCTATGTACATTTCTTTGAATTGACTTTAATATTTGTTTTTCAGTTACACAATTCTGGTTTACCTATTGAGAGGATCACAAATCATGAATAACATTTCAGTAGTGGCTGTTATTTGTGTTCTTGAAGCCATCAGCGAGTTGTTTGTTGTAATTCACATATTTATAATATTAATAATTACGTTTTAATAAAAATGTATTTCTTTTATCTATTTACATCCTAAACAAATATTGAAAAATATCAGTTTATTAATATTGATTTGTAGCTAAAATGTCAATGTTTTATTCCCTTCTAGATCATATTTGTCTTCAAATCAGCTTTGGGACCAGGAAACAGAGGTAAGTTTTGGGAAACTGGGACTTAACTCTCATTTAATCCAGCTAGTTCTTGTTTCTTTAGTTATTAGAATCATAGATCTTAGAAAGGTTTAAATTAGAAAGATCAATGGGATGATGGCCATATTAGGTCAAGATGCTCACTGTTTTAATTCTGTGAATAAATATCTATTATCAGTGGTAGACAGTTATTGTATTAGAGACCTGAGTTATTGGCAATCAATGCCTTAGAAATATGCACATGAAGATTTAGCACTAAGGTCAAAGAACTATACAAGAAAGACATAAAAAAACTCTCATTTGTTGCTGGCAAATGGAGAATGAACGGTCAACCCTACAAATATAAAAACCTCGAGTTAAATCTTTTATATTATACTATAATATGCATTCAATTATGTGTACATGCATCTTGCAGCATTTTTCTTTACTCACTATTGTAATTGTTTTCCCATATTGTCATACCTTGCATTATTCTATTTATATCAGCATGTGCATTGTTTAGTTACTACAGTAACCACTGTCACTGATAGTCCAATGCCATTGGTCAATCAGGGTGAATCTGGTCATTCCATACCAAATCCTTACAGCTGTTGATTCATACACAATAGATGATTTTAACACCAGTGAATTGTCACGCCTAAGTTATCAGTATTTTACTTGGAATATTATGTCAATCAGACATGTATTTACATGCTTTATGACATGTATTCAATTGTAAGCTTTTAGTTGTAAGTGTTAGTGTTTAAATGCTAGTGTAGTTTGTTATATTACATTCCATCCATCCATTGATACTTGGTGTATATGTACCTTGGGTAGACCTCTGTTATATTTGATATTACATATATAGGTACTACATGTGGACCTCTCTCAGATTTTTTAATTTCGTGGTGATATCTTCAATTACTTAATTTTGATGATTATTTTTGTCATTTTTGGTAAAAAGTGATATTTTTGAATTCTTGCTGAAAACAGCAAGTCCCATTGCTTTGATACTATACATATTCTTCATTTTCTAATGATATCTTCTGTTCTTTAATTGAAATGTGCATTGCTAACAGCGGAGCTATCTCAGCCAACAGGCTGCTTGTTTTATAGTTCAATGTCAAAATTTTTATCTTTCAAAGAAGAATATGAGATTGAGATAACTTCATGAAGCTTTACCTTAATCAAATGTGTACAGCACTTTAATAAAAAACATGGAAATGCAAAAAAAATAGTTTTGTGTTTGTCAAATCTCTTGCATTGTTTTGATGCCGCTATAATGCTGTGACCTTTGTTTGTCCTCTTTTTACGCGTCTCATGCATAACACAGAATGTTGCAGTGGAAAAAAAATTACCACTGTCAACTTGTAATAATTCCACAGATATAAGTGACTCTCAAATACTGGACAAGAACTGTCATTTTAGTGATGTTCTTTTGATTGATGTATTTCAGAAATGGGTGAACATTTGGTGCAGCATGGAGATGGTGTAAAAGATATTGCATTTAGTGTGGAAGATTGTGGTGCTCTTGTTGAGGTAAATTCAATATGAATGAAAACATGTAATGTTTAATATTCCTTGGGGTACTGTACGGTGATGATAATGAATAAGCAATAATTTGATTCCACTGTTCTTAGAAAACTAAAGAGAAAGGCGGAAAAGTAATCAGAGATTGTTGGGAAGAGTCTGATGAGCATGGTTCTGTAAAATTTGCTTTAGTTGCCACAGTAAGTAAATTAATCTTTTTTGTTTGTTTTGTTCATGTGCTGAGTGTCACATTGCTTTGGTTAATCACATCTTCTGTACATTGTAGCCTGACGAGGTTGTGTGAGTTGTGCCCTCCACAGTGCTCCAAACCCAACACGCGCTTGACAGAATGATGTAGTTTTTCATTTCCCCTAACGATTTTTTGTCGGTACCAATCAAATTGCAGGAACGTCAGATAGTGACAGCCATCAAAGAGTAACCATTCACGGCAGAGTTTATCTGTTTGTTGACATAATGTGTGATAAGGTGTTGGCACATTTCTGCCCAATGTTTATCAACTCAACAGTCTGTGAGTTTTGTCGTCAATGCAAACACGGCTTTGATGTAACCATGACCACCAAAATGAATATTCATTGCAAGAAGGCGTGAACTTTTGATTTCGCAGTATTGATCTTGCCGACAAGACACTATTCTGTCAGGCATCAGTAAGGTGATGTTGTTAGGCCAGTGAAGGCCTCCTCACACCTACATGTCAGGCATCAGTAAGGTGATGTTGTTAGGCCAGTGAAGGCCTCCTCACACCTACATGTCAGGCATCAGTAAGGTGATGTTGTTAGGCCAGTGAAGGCCTCCTCACACCTACATGTCAGGCTACTGTACATTGTAGTCCTATACATTCAACTGTAGAGAGCTTGTCTCATCTTGGGGCTTAACACAGAACTCACAGTTGTGTCCAGGCTTTTGACTGAGCTATAAAACTACCTGGGTAACTCAAGTTGAAATCAAGTTAATCCATTAACATGTTTTTTCTAACAAGTAGTTGAACCCAGAATTTTACTACACTTGCTATGTGATATTTTTGTGCTTTTTTTGGTGATCAAATTGATGTGTAATGACTTGAGTGTAACTACAATACAGCACTTCCTTAGTTTTGTGATATTTTTTGCCAACTAGAAATTGTGTTTACCAGGTATGGAATATTATCACACTATCATACAGTTTAGTGCTGTGTATTGTATTTACACCACTTTCATTTCACTACCATACTTGATCTAGGGGTAGTGTGACAAAATTCCACATTTCCATTTCTTGTCATTAATTGTAAATGGCTTCATGACTCATGCCAGCCTAGGTGTACTAAATTTATAAAAATAGGTCTCTGTCTTGCAGTTTAATAGGAAAACACATCAAAAGGAGTGCATCATATGGATCAATAATTTAAATAAAATAATTTCAAATTTTTTCCAACAATTTGTCTAGTCAGTGTAGGAATTTATTCTAAATAATCTTTGAAGCCGAAGGATCAATGAAGATTACAAGTCTGAGCAAAACAAACTTGTCCTGATTTTCTTTGAATGACGCAAATCAATATTTGAACAACAATCCACCATAATCAAAAAAATTATATGCATGGTTTAGGTTACAATGTTGCAGCTTGAAAAATTATCAAACAAACCACGTAATAACTAAATAAGTACAAATGTAAAATTTTAACTATACTTGCCACACAAGAAAAAGATCTAAAAGCTACCAAATATTTCATTCATGATCGAAATACAGTGTAAGTAACAATAAATTCAGTTTAGAACAATGTCTTTATGATTCATTTCAGCAATAATCGACTCTAGCTAGGGTGCCATCTTTATGTGCTGGAGAATTTTATCCCTGACTCCCTAGGTCATTCTTTTTTGTCAGTTTTTCATGACAATAAACGTGTCAGCTGGTTGAATTTAGTTGAATGAAGGATTTTATCTCTTGTTCAGCATTTACCGTAATACCTTGCTTTTGATTCACAAGGACACTGATTCAGTCAAAACATTAAAGGACATTTACAGATTTGAATTGCTGCAAACATTGTTTGTTTGAACTCTCAACAGCTTGTAATCAGGATTTACACATTTTTTAATGTTTTTTTGAAACTTCATTGTCACTGTTCTTTGTAAGCATGGTAGGCCTGCGTTGACAGCCTCGGCACAAAAATGGTATCAAAAAATGTCACAGGAAAAAATTCAAATTAGTTTTAAAGAGTGTCAGACATATGTATTTGTTTCATATTTATGTTTGTTCATATTTGACTGCTGAAAGTAATTATTTGAAATGCATGTGAAAAAGTGAGCTATTGAATAAACAAAACATATTTCTATAAGTAGAAAAATGCCCCCCCCCCTAAAGGATTTCCAATGGACTTATGGCAGTTGCTGCGCTGATCTGGTGAAAAACTAATCAATATTCTTCCCATTTTATTGACTAGTATGGTGACACAACACATCTATTTGTGGAGAAAGCCCAGTACAAAGGATTGTTTCTTCCTGGGTACAAACCGCCGATTGGAGTTCCTGATAAACTTCTTCCTAAATTGTAAGTTTTCTGTTTCAGGCTATTTAATCATTTTGGTTTGTATTCTACCATATCAGATCACCTACTCATGAAGAAATTACAAAAAAATTAGGTAAAAATACAGCAACTCAAATTAATTCATGTGTCTTTCATCTAATAGGCCCGAGATTGATCTCAAGTTTATTGATCACATAGTTGGTAACCAGCCAAACAATGAAATGGAAAGCGTAGCAGAGTGGTATGTACAATATACATTCATCTTCTATTTTACATATCCTGATTTACTAGTTATTGTAATGTACCAATTATCATACACATCTTGATGCTTTCAAATAGTCTTATTACGAAACAGTCTTATTATTGCATACCTTTGAGTACTGTATACACATTGAAATAGCTACATGTGATTTGTTAGCAAAACAGTGAGTTCCATTGCAATACTGCTTGTTAGGTTGTTTTTTATCCACAGTTGTGTTGGTGGGTTATTCCTCACAACATTGTGCTTCCTTACAGGTATGAGAAGAATTTAATGTTCCATAGGTTCTGGTCTGTTGATGACTCAGTAATTCACACTGAATACAGTTCACTGCGTTCTATTGTTGTCACCAATTATGAAGAAACAATCAAAATGCCAATTAATGAACCTGCTCCAGGAAAAAGAAAAAGTCAGATTCAGGTATGTTGACAGATAATCTGTAAGCTTAGAAACTCAACATCTTTTTCAGCTCAGGCAAACTTCATTTGAATTCCTTTTGACAACATATTTGATGTATTCTGGGGACGAACATCTGGGCATTTTCACCACCTGGAAATCATTATGGTAAAAACAAAGGCTATAGGATAGTTGTTGTGACTCCCCTAAACAGTGTAACAACATTACCTCTAGTTGTGCAACATGTATTAATTTGGTTGCTCAGGATTACTTCAAAGTTGAGTTTGTGTTGTTTTCATTGGCTCTTCGACCTGCGTTTTACAGCAGCTTGCATAGAACTGGTAGAAATGCATGATACAGTGGTATGCATCTTGGCAACGTAAAACATTCTGTGATGTAGCTCCGCCTCGAGAATTCAACAAAATTATTGGTAATTCAGTGGGTACGATTTTTGACTCCCATGTGCGAAGCACAAAATGGGAGTCTTTGCAGTTAGTGTGTCTGTATGTGTGTCTGTATGTGTGTATGTGTGTATGTGTGTGTATGTGTGTATGTGTGTCCGACTGTTCCACTGCTATCTCAAGAACCATACATCGGTTTTTGATGAAACTTGGTGCATAGATGCTCTGGGCCAATGCGCAGATTTGATTAATTTTTGGTAAAAATCCGTGCATATTAATTACCTAATTTGCATGATAATTAGCTATTTTTTAGTGGTTCCATGACTGTTCCACTGATATCTAAACAACCACTCATTGGATTTTGATGAAACTTGGTACATAGATGCTCTGAACTAATGCTAGGTTTTGATTAGTTTTTGGTAATAATCCGTGGATACTAATTACCTAATTTGCATAATGATTAGTCAATTTTCGGTTTTTCCACTGATATCTCAAGTACTAATCATCACATTTCAATGAAACTTGGTACATAGATGTCATACGACACTGCACAGACCTGATAGTTTTTATGGTAATATCAGTACATATTAATTACCTAATTTGCATAATTAATTAATTTTCAGCATTTGATATAAGTAGTAGCATTACATTTCAATG